AGTACCTGTCACATATGATTTAATGAAAGAATATTTTGAAAGCTCTTTGAACAATGATTGGCTCAGAAATGTGAGTGCAAAAAAAAAAAATCTGAACTATTATTAGCCTGTAAGCTTTATTATAAAAGATTTTATATGGATAGTAATGATAACTTTCAAACACCCGAACCTCCAAATATAAATGGTTGAACTTCAGGATGGTCATTTTGAGAGATCATACATTTGTTTCAATGATACGTTTATTTTTTGAAAACATTTTCAGTATTATGACTAAAAATGTACCCCTTTGCTTGATTAGCCACAGCATTTGCCAAACTTGGCTCTTTTTCTTTTTCTTTTTTTTTTAAATTTGTAAGCTGTATTCAAAGGTATAGCCGACTTAGAGAGCTAGTTGTTTTGGAAAACATGAACTGTGTGTAAATGAGTTCTGTATTTGCTAATTGCAGATGTGCCTTCAAGGTAGAGGAAATGTATTTGTCAGGCTTTGGTGACCATTAATTTGTTCACATGCTTACATGATCTTCTAAATTTGATATTTTGAAAGATTCTATAGTCTTATATTTCCTTGTTTTAAATTTCTTTCTTTTAGTTATTTTTAAATTTTTGCATACTTTGGTCTGTATTTGGTACATGTAGTACCTCTTCTGGAAACCCTGGTGGCATAGTGGTTAAGAGCTACGGCTGCTAACCAAAAGGTTGGCAGTTGGAATCCACCAGCTGCTCCTTGGAAACCCTGTGGGGCAGTTCTACTCTGCCTTATAGGGTCGCTATGAGTCGGAGTCAATACCTCTTCTAATCTACAGAGAAATAGATTTTATTTTTATAATGATGTTTTTTAATGGGTATTAGATACATAGTTCTTTTTAGCAGAGGATATTATACTAGTCTCAGTTTTCTTTACAGTTTTCGTACAAGCAAAGGAGTTGGTTACTCTGCTCATTTTGTTGGTAACTGTTTAATAGTCACATCACTCAAGTCCAAAGGAAAAGGTTTTCAGCACTGTGTGAAATATGATTTTCAACCACGCAAGGTAGGTAAAAGCAAATATTTATTTTGGGAATGATGTCTTAGTTTTCTTAGTGCTGCTATAATAGAAATACCACAGTGGGTGACTTTAATGAACAAAAAATTATTCTCTCACAGTTTAGGAGGCTAGAAGTCTGAATCCAGGGCATCTGCTCCAAGGGAAGGCTCGCTCTCTGTCAGCTCTAGGGAAGGTCCTTGTCTCTTTTCAGCTTCCCTTCCTTGGCACTGTTCATGTATCTTCATGTGGCCTCGCATCTATTTTTCCCCATGTATGCGTCCTTGCTTCTGTGCCTGATCTGCTCTTTTAGATCTCAAAAAGTCACTGTTTTAAGGCAAGCCCTACACTGATGTGATCTCGTTAACATAACAAAATCTTATTCCCAGTCAGGATCACATCTACAGGTATGAGGGTGAGGATTTACAACATGTAATTTTTGGGGGACACGATTCAATCCATAACAGGGGGAAATGTCTTTTTTTGCTTTGTTTCTTTCTTTCTTTTTTTTTTTTTGCTTGTTTTCTTATGATCATCCCATGTGTGTTTTCCCAG